CGGGGAGGGATCGGGGAGCGGACAAGGCCCGGCAACGGGAGGGGTCGTGGCGGGCGGGGTCTTACCGGGAACTGCGGCCGGCGATTCGGCCGAGCTGCTTTACGGCGTCGTAAAAAGGCCCGGCATGCGCAGGCGCCGCAGCGGGACGGGCGTGTGGGCGGGGCGCGAGCAGTCATTCTGGAGAGTGGCCGCACGGGGGCGCCCGTGTCCGTGGGGCCCGACCGAGGGACGCGGCGTGGCGGTTAGGAGCCTCGCTGGCCTTGGTTGGCCCACGATCGGGGGGACAGTAGCACGGGTGGTCACCTGCTCAGGAGTACAGGCTCGACGATCGGTACATGTGCGTCCTTGAGCCTATGTCTGCCTGTCTCAGGGGCACATGTATGTCCTCGGGCACACGTCTTGTAGGGGCACATGTATGGCCATTTGCGCATGCTCACTAGTCTTAGCGACACACCAATGCCTGTGTGCACATGTCCACTTGCCTTAGGGACAAATGTATGCCCGTGGGCACGTGTTCTCTTAGGGGATGTACAGCCTTGAGCAATGGGCATAGTACACTTACCGGCACCTGTGCTCATGGATACATGCTCTGTGGACAGAATCACCCACCAGCACAGGAACACCCATGGGTACAGACTCAGAGATACGCATCCGCGGGCCCTTGCACACTTAGGGAGACCTTGTACATCTCAGGTCCCAAACCTTCATGGGTACACACTCAGGGTGCAGGGGCTTGGCTCCTCCCTGGGTACACATTCATGGGCCCACTGGGGGAATTTGTTCTCACACCGCCTGGGGCCCCAGGGTTCCTGGCATCACGTCCACGTGTTCACTGCCCTCCCCCAATTCCCAAGTCTGACCACTTACAGACCCTCCCCGACAACGTCCCGAAGCCTCCCAGCCACACCAATAAAAGACTGGAAAGCCACGTGGTTTCCCTTTGTCCTTTATCTTCATGAATCACGGAAAGTGAGTGCAGAAACAAATGGACACATTTACGCAGACGCTCTGAACCCCCTCGGTGACATAATCAGACACGCTCATGTTGACACACACCTGTTCACGCTGGCACAGGCAGTGACACGTTTATACACTTATCCCGCAGGGCACACGTGTGTTTATACTGACAATGAAATGGGCACGCGCAACATGTATCACCAACACCCACACCCCACAGTGACACACCTTTGTGGTTGCTGCTGACACGGCCACCCACCGTGACATGCATTACACTCACACACACCATGCTACACACGTGTGTCACACGTTCAGGTGTGCACACCACACCTGCTGTGACTCCCACCTGCAACCTTCACCCATAGCACCTTCCTGTGGGGACACACTGAAATACCCACCCTCCCCGAACTATTTACCCCCATACACATGTGCACACACACACACGTAACGTCACAACACTCATTTGCCAAGATATGTGATTTTCTACACGTGGGATGAAGGACAGGTTTGGACCAGGCTGGGGCCCCCATCTTCCATCTTCACTGAGGGATGCGATCTTGTCCTCCCAGCTGCAGCCAGGGCTTCAACGCCTTCTCATTGATTTAGATGAGGGGCCTGCGGCGTTGGGGGTGAGGGGTAAAGGGTGGAAACCCAAGGTCAGGCAGATTCCACTCTCAGAAGGGAATCTAGGGCCAAATCAGGGGGGTGGACCCCTCATCTTCCTCCCCTCCCTCCCCAGCTCCAACTTACTTGGATTTGGCATCTTCAGCATCTCGATTTTGTCTAACTTAGCCCTGGTTTCACTTATGGCTAGGGGCGGGAGAGACAGAAGAAAACTGAGGTGGGGCTTCGCCACATTTACTGGAAACTCCCTGTTTGACCCCCAAGCTGGGGTGCCACAGAGCCCGTGGACTTGGAGTTTTCCAGCAGCATGTATATACTCCCTAATCCATCACCCTTCCAAATCCTGCGCTCTTGGGAGGGCGAGGCCCCACTGCCCCATCCCCCAACTCCCCAGCACCCAGCCCAACGTTGAGCACAGAGACACGTTCACCCAGTGGAGGTCGGTAAGGGCACCTCTTAAGAGTTTCTGGCTCTGTTCCTGGACCTTGTTCTTCAGCGTGTTAATGCCCTGCACTGCTATCCTGGTGTTCTGATTGAGGGTGCTCCAGGCCTCCTTCTGCAACTCCAGGCACCCCTGCGCCGAGAGGGAGACTGAGGGTGTGGGGTGGGGATGTCTGTGTCGCCGCTCCCCTCCCTACCCGACCCGGGCCCAGGTCCTCCCTCACCATTCTGAAGCTCCCCTTTCAAGTTCAGCAGCTCCTGGGACATCTCGGAATCTGTTCAGGATGGGGGTGGAAAAGGAAAACCTTCCAATCGCCCTAATTCTGCAGCCTTGGGAGCCAGACTTGACCTCCCCAGCTCCCGAGGACCCCTCCACACTGCCCCGGCCCCTGCCCCAGTCACCAAAAACTCAAAACACTCACTCTTCATCAGGACCAAGGCCAAGAGAATGACGCAGGACAGGGCGAGGAGGAGGGACAGGCTCACCATGGCTCTGTGCAACCAATAGAGGCCCTGGGCAGAGTCCAAGGGAGGCCTAGACTGGGATGGGACTGGGGCAGAGGCAGGACAGGTCACCTCCAGGGCCCAACACCGCCACTCGGACCATTGGCACTAACACCATCAACAGCTCTGTCATCTACATGTGCTGTCCCCAATACCATAAACAGCTTTGACCATCAACGACGCTGCCAGCCTGGCCAGAGCCGCCAGCAATGGTCCCTAACACCATCATCATCACCCCCCTCCTTACCATCCTTGTCACTGACACCCACCAGCATCAATGCGCATTTATGGGCACTGTCCCCATTGTCCGACCTCATCAGCACCCTCACCAGCTCTGTCTAGGTGATTCCTTCCCAATGCACTCCACGGTCACTTACTCACCATCACCGTCACCCAAATCTTCCACCAGCACATTCACACCACCAACAAAGCTACCCCCACCACTGTCACACACAAGCCTCAACACCACGCCATCGACCTGACCCCCACGCACTGCCCCTTGTCTCAGCAGTGCTCTCCTCCAGGCCCCTCCCTAGGCAATGGGATGTGGCTCATGGGTGGCCGCTCACCCTTATTCTTGGCTGGTGAATGACTGCCCTTTGGTTGGTCGCGATTTCTGAAGGTCAACGTGAAATTCTCATAGGCAGGGTCATCTGCACCTGTGAGCAGGTCAGTGGAAGGGGCTGTGGAAACCTGCCTGCCCGGAGCGCTGGGACAGGGATGGGAGTAGGAGAGGAGGCTCAGACATCTGGGTTCACCGAACCCTGCACACAACACACTTCTGGGGGTAAAGACAGGGAGTGGGGAATAAAGGTCAGCTTCTTGATTAAGGGGAGCGGGTGTGTGTGACCGTCTGGGTGATACACAGACACACACACTTTCTGGGTAGGGGAAGGAACCCTCTGGCCCCAACTTTCAGCTCCTTATCTCTTCTATCCCAACCTCTCCCTCTCGACCTCTCCCCTTGCCTCTCCAGGGCGAGGTGCCCAACCTTCTTTGTTGTCTGGGGATCGCCGTTTCTTGTCTTTAAAGGCTGCTGCCTGCATCTTGACCTGGTTCATGTAGATTTCCTCATTCTCCATTTTCCCCGGGGCTGCCGATTTGTCTGTATTCATTCTCCACCCACCGGAAGGTGTCTGGAAGGATGAGGAAGTCTCTGGGTTGGGGTGAGGGAAGAAAGGAGGAGTCAGCCTCCTCTTTCCAGGGATGCAGGACCCTCCCACCTCACCTTGGGCATCCTCACCTCCACCCCGGCTCAAGAGGGGTCTTAGGAGACCAGAGGTCTCAGGGAGGACCAAGAACAAGAGCCTACAGTCCCGGAAATGGAATGGAATAGTCAGGAACTTGTGGTTAAAGTGTTAACTAACACGATGGTGATGATCACATTGCAATAGACAAAGGTATCAAATCAACACGTTGTACACGTTAAACTTACACAACAGTCATATGTCATTTGTTTTTTTTTAATTTTGCTGTTTATTAGCGGGAGAGATAATTAGGTTTACTTATTTATTTACTTTTAGAGGAGGTACTGGGGATTGAACCCAGGACCTTGTGTACACTGAGCATGCACTCTACCACTTGAGCTATATCCTCCCCCATCTGTCAATTGTATTCAATAAAAATAAAGCTTTTAAAAAAGGGATGGTCAGGAAATCTATAGGAAGCTCTGTGTGTGTGTGTGTGTGTGTGTGTGTGTGTGTGTGTGTGTGTGTGTGTGTGTGTGTGTGTGTCTACCTGGATGAACCTCAACCTCCCATCTCTTGCTCTCAAGAGAAGAGATTTGACACCTCCAAGCCCTACCTTTTAGGGCAGAGGCAGTTCCTAGCCCCAGTTCCCCCTCTCGGCCCCGCCCTGAGAAGTTCTACTTCTTCAAGATCTCTTGAAGGAGAAGCGCGGGTAGGAGGCAACAGGGTCACCGAACTGCACATCCACATGTGGGACTGAGGCCAGACCTCACCTTGACCTAACTCCGGAAGCAAACCCACTCACACTCAGCCACACGTCTCCTCACCTACCCAGACTCACACACACACACACTTACGCACACCCTCCTGAACACCCCCAGTCACAATCTGCCCGCCTGCACGTGTGTCACCCTCATTTGCATGCTGATGCCTATTCATGGCATCACACTGTCTGCACTCTGCCTAGCTGTCTTGAAGTTCTCTTTGTCTCTCTGACCTTGAAAACTGTGGATTAAAAAAAAAATGAGACCAAGTATACAGGGAATTTTCTCTTTAGATCTAGAGCAGTGCCTTCTGATGGAAGTATAATGTGAAATGCATCATGGTTTTGGAGGGCAGGGTTTTTAAAAATTGAAGAATAGTTGATTTATAATATTATATTAGTTTCAGGTGCACAGCATAGTGATTCAATACTTTTATAGATCATACTCCATGGAAAGTTATTACAAAATAATGGCTGTATTACTCTGTGCTGTACAATACACCCTTGCTTCTTACCTATTTTATACGTAGTAGTTTGTAGTTCGTTTACTGTAGTCGTCTTCAAATTGGTCACATGGTGGTCTGATCAGCACCATCTTGATTGTTTTAAGTGCAGTTAATCTTCATTTTCAGGCTCAACTTGTTCCCATTTCCTTGAGGCCAGTTCTCAGAATTGTGCAAGATGGAGCAGCTTATGTCATGGCTACACTCTGGTCATCGTGTACTTAACTTCCTCCACGTGGTGGGCATTTTAGCATCTGTAAAACGGCTCAGAGGATATGGCTCAGAATCTTATCTGTAGCCCTTGAGGAGAAAGTAAAGGTCTTTGACTTTGCTGCATGGCTAAGCTATTATTATTTTGTCCTGTTTGACTGCTTCTCTTTGCTTCTGCATTTTTTCATTTCTTTGATTAAATGTACTTTTTTGGCTAAAGTTTTTCTAGAGACGAGAGACAGGCAGAGGACACTGAGGGGTTGGTGGTGTCTGTCCTGGGAAGGCCCCGTAGGGTCCTGCTCTGTTACTCTCCCTTTGGAAAAAATAAATTTGAAACTTTCTATGTGTAGGAAGTGAGTATGTTTTAGATTTAAAATGTGTGATTAAATTCTACATAATTTTGGAATGGTCCCCAAGATCCAGTGAGGATAACATTCTCTTTCCTAAAGCATTGCCAATCTTGTCTGCTCAAGGAAGATTGATTTACTAGTGATTAGATGCCAGCTCTTGTATCTGGTCTTACAAAGACTCCACTTACTGGGAAGTGTGACCCCACACCCAGCCCAACAGTCACAGAAGAGATAGGCCAATGGGGAACTGGCTTTGCTCTGATGGACAGGCACAGGGAGCGGGGCCACAGCATCACACCTTTCCCTGGCTCTGATGAGGCTGAGACCAGGCCCCAGCCCTCTGGACTTTGAGGAAAAGTTAGTCCCCAAACGAGACCCTCAAGCAACCATGTCACAGTGGCCTAAGAGGGCTTCTGAGGTTGCCTGACCAGACTTTCACTGAGTAACTATCTCCGCTTTCTTTTAAGAAAGAAAACATGTCCTAACTAGGGATTGGTTTAGGGTGGGCATGGGATCCAAGCCCAGCCAATCAGAGTCCAAAATTTGGCACACGGCAGGAACATGAGCCAGACTCAACCAATGAAGTTGAGTCCTGAGGATTTTGGTGGGTCAACCAGGAAAAAGGGTATCCTCTTTCCCCCCAGTCCTCACCCCACTGCCGTAAGACTGTGAGGATGTAGGCCTGGAGCTGTGACAAGAGAGAGCCTGCTTGAAAGTGAAGCCAGCACTGAGGAAAGCAGACCTGACAGGGAGTGGGGTCCTGGACACATCATTTGAGACCCTGGATCCAGCCGTACTTGAATCTGTTGTTCTAACCGTGGGCCTTTCAGTTACATAATCCAGAAATGTCCTTTCTCTTTTGCTCCAGCTAGTTTGATGTGGGTCTGGCTACTACAGGGGCCAGGCATTTGGCAAAAGAGGAAGGAGGCTTAAGAAGGGGCAGGGGTTGCCTGTCAAAGTCTGTGCTCTGGGACAGGAGGGTGACTGTTGGAACTGAGTGCTCTGAAGAGGCCTTTCTTGGGGTCCATAGAGAAGGACAATTGTGGGTCTTGGAGACAAGGGGGCATTCACATCAGGGTCTGGAGACACTGGAGTGCTCCTCCCTTCACGTCAGTGAGGGACAGGCTAGACAAGGTACTAGACTCACCCCCTCTGGTTCTTAACACACTCCTGAATCAGTGATCCCACTCCAACCCCAAGGCCGAAGTGGGATTAGGATGAAGGACGTGGGAGGGGAGTGCCTGGATCAGAGACTGGGTGGATGCCACAGGCACCGGGAGTGTTTGTGACCTCAGCTCATGGCCACCGGGATCAGACATCATAACGGGTAGTTGCCAGTGGGAGGAGAGTCCAAAACATCTTGAAAGCCAGAACTCCACCCTGTCCTCCATTCTCCAGCCTGAGGAGTATGCTGGGGACTGTGACGTTTACCTCTGGGGTCCCTTTTAAGATTGAGCACCAAGTGTTCTGAATTCTCTGCTTGCATCTCTCAGGGACTGGCTTTTAAGACTCCTGGGTTAGGATTCTAAAGGAACTAGACCTTGAATCACCTGGGTTTGTGCCCCTCTCCCTGTGATGCTGAGGATTTCCCTTCTAGGGTTTGACTCCAAACTGAGACGGTGTCATTGGGTGGGGGCGGGACTTGATGTTGGAAGTATGAGAGTCTATCTGAGGCATACATGTGTCTGTGTGTCCCTGGGTCTCTCCGTTCGGTAGGCATGTGTGTATCTGTGGGTGGGGTGTCTCTGTGTAACCATGGTAACTGGGTTTTGTACTGTGCGTGCACATGGCCATGAGTAACTACGTATGTGCATGTAGTGTGTGCACCTAGGTGGTGTAGCCACATGTGTGTGGTTATTTATTCAACAGACATTTCCCGAACACCTTCTATCTACCAAGCTCTTTCTAAGAGCCAGATATATCAAAGATACAAGCCCCCTGCCCTGTGTTTTCATATTTGAGGGCTCATGAGAGGTACATACCATGAGCTATAATTACTCAAAACTGCACCTGTGCGTGTGAAAACGTGAATTGGTGACGTAGGTAGCATCAGGTAGGAGTTCTCCCCAGACCCCTGTGAAGACTCCTTCCTGCTCATGACCCAGCTTTGTCTGCCCCTTGGGGGTCCCCTGATGCAGGTGAGGAGTGAGGGATGGGGCTCAGGGCTTTGGGCTCTCCGATGGCTCAGGGATGCACCCTGACCCGGGGGCTGCTCGTGGCTTGAGTCCCGGGAGCACACGTGCATAGGGTGGGTGGGGGTACCTGCCCTGTCCAGACCCAGATCCCTGAGGAGGCCTCATTGTGGGCGGTGGGGAAGAATGACCCAGCAACTTCCCGGGAGGTCCGAAACGCTAGGGTGACCGTCAGGTTGGCTTCAAAGGTAACACTCCCTTCCCCTTCTGAAGGTATGCCACGAAACTTGGGTGTGGGTGTCATTAGAGGAAGTTAAGTCCCCATTTTTTCAGAAGTAGAAGTGGGGGACCACAAGGGAGGAGGGGGGAATGGGGCAGAAGAAAGTCGCAGTTGTCCCCCCACCCACCTCCCTCTGGTGACTACGCGCCTCGCTCTTTTTGGAGACGCCAGCTCAGTCTCCCACACCCCACAGAAGACACAGCACAGGGCCCAGGCCCTCTCCATCCTCTTCTCAGCCTTTATTTCTAGCCCCGCCCCTCCGAGGCATGACCCCACCCCTCTGAGGCTGGCCACGCCCTCCAGGCCCATCCCGTAGGCAGGTGCAACTTTAGGCTACTAGGCCTGCAGGTGACAGCAGCGGGCTCCTGTCCAGTCCATGCCTGCGCACTGGCAGTGGCATGTGGTCTCGGCGCGAACATCCCACGAGCCACAGGCAGAGCCACACGTGCAGCCGGTGACAGCGAAGCCTGCCAGTGGGAGCGAGGAGTGGGGAGAGCTTGGGCTCCAAGTCAGAGGCTGCGGGCCTCGGGGTCCAGGGGGCTGGAGGCCCTCACACTGGAGAATGGGAGCCGGATGCGTGGGTGGTGGGGACGCTGGTGGTTGGGGACCTGGACACCGGGGTCCTGAGGAAATAGGGTCCGGGAGTTGTGGGGAGGGAAAAGGCTGGGGGTGCAGACCAAAACATTCTAGAAGTAGAGACTGGGTCTCCATGGTCTTAGAGGAATAGAGGCTGGACGTGGGGGAGGGGGTTACAGGCTACCAAGAACAGACCTGAGAGTTCTGTACTCACCTGAGGGGCAGGTGACCAGGTCCCCCCTGGAGGTGACACTCCGGCAGTCCAGGCGAACTTTCCTTATTACGTCAAGTACTGCGGGGTGGTGGAGGGGGATGGGTAACTGTGAGACCAAGCTGCCTCTCCCCCATTCTTATGCTGCCCAGGCCCTGTGGTCTGGACATAGGCAAGGGGTCACAAAAACTCCCCTGGAGAGGGCCCAGGTGGTCTGGGCCCTGGGGGAGGGCCCAGGTGGAGGGGAGCTCACCGCCTCCTAGGATTCTGTCTTGAGGTGGGCGTTTTGGAGGAAGGAGGGTTTGGAGATGTGGTTAAGGGTGGAGCCGGGCGGGAGCTGGGATTGGGGTCGGGGCCACTACTTGTTTGCTCCGTGTCAGGAATCGGAGGGGCCCCTGCTGAGGTCAGATGTCAGGGTCCTCACTTAGGAAACTGGTGGCATCTTGGATCTTCTCATTGAGGGCTTCATCCATGGGACACAGTGAGTTGCCACACACCAGCAGCCACAGGACTGGGAGGAGGAGGAGGGGGAGAGCCTTCATCCTGCAGGTTCTGCAAGAGAGAACCAGGGGACCCACATTGGGGTCAGCCCCTTCCCAGCCTGGGAGGGATCAGGCCCACCGAGCGTGTGGGATCTGGAGCCCTGGGTCCCGATGGAGGACAGGGCTGGAGGTCCAGCTTTGCCCCAGGCTCTCTGGCTGAGGCTCTGGGCAGAGGCAGGGGCCCCTGTCACTTACCCTCTTCTTGGACTCTGCAGGCAGAATCCTGGACATACATCCTCTGCCCCTGCCTCAGCTTTCTCTTTAAGGCCTCCGGGTGTGGGGCTTCCTGTCTTGGCTAAGCCCCTTGGCATCCTGGCCCTCCCTTCCCACATCCGGGGCTAAGAGGAGGCCCCCAGGGTAGGCTCCAGGGCCTCCTCTTTCAACAGCCTTCCCTTCCCACATCCCGGAGGTGGTTACCTGGGGGATAATTCCAGAAACCGCAGTTGGAGGGACAGGCAGAGAAACATAATAGTCAATAGTTGTGAGTGTGAAGTGAGAACTGCATACCACGTTCATTCTCAAATGCCCATCACAATAGAACAGAGAGATAAAATCATGGTCTATTCCTTCAATGGAACAATCTACAACTGATGTTGGCAAGTTACAGCCCATGGGCCAAATCCAGCCAGCCATCTATTTTTGTACCACTCACAAGCTAAGAATGGTTTTCTTTCCTTTTTCTTTTTCTTTTTTTTTGTTTGTGTTTGTTTCCAATAGGAATAGATTTTTTTTAAATTGTGGTAAAATATACATAAAGTGTGGTAGGATATAGCTCAAGTGGTAGAGCAGGTGCTTAGCATGCATAAGGTCCTGGGTTCAGTCCCCAGTACCTTCTCTAAAAAAATTAAACAAACAAACAAACTGAATTACCTCCCTCTCCCCCCAAAAATATATATGTATACACATAAAATGTACCATTTTAACCATTTTCAAGGGTACAATTCAGTGGCATTAAGTCCATTCACAATATTGTGGAATCATCACCCCTATCCATTTCCAGAATTTCTTTTAAGCATCCCAAACTGAAACTCTACCCATTAAACTCTAACCCTCCCCTCCCTGCCAGCCCTTGGTCACCTCCAATCTACTTTATGAATTTGCTTATTTATTCATATTACAATACGTGGAATTAGCCTTCTGTGTCTGCCTTATTTCACTGAGCATTATCTTTTAAGATTCCTCCATGTTGTAGAATGTATCAGAACTTGACTCCTAGAGGGGAGGGTGTAGCTCAGTGGTAGAGTGTGTGCTTAGCACGCAGGAGGTCCTGGGTTCAAACCCCAGAACCTCCATTAAAAAACTCAAATAAACCTAATTACCTACCCCCACCCAAAAAAGAAAAAACTTCATTCCTTTTTAAGGCTAATATTCAATCATTTGTACATACCACATCTTGTTTATCCATTCACCCGTTGGCGGCAGGTGGGTTTCTGTGAACAGTGCAGCTGTGAACCGGGGTGTGCAAGTATCCCTGTGAGCGGCTGCTTTCAGTTATTTTGGGTACAGACCCAAGAGTGGAATTGCTGGATTATATGGCAATTCTGTGTTTAACTTTTTGGTGAACTGCCAAACAGTGCTCACATTAAATTTCTTGTATTGAAGTATAGTTGATTGACAATCCTGTGTTAGTTTCTGGTGTACAGTATATTGATTCGGTTATGCATATGTATTCTTTTTCATTATCAGTTATTAAACATTTGAAAATCATTAAAAAGTTAATATTTAATGACATACGGAAAGTATAGGAAATTCAAATTCTAGGGTCCATAAAAAAAGTTTTCCGGGCACACAGCCATGCCCACTTTTGAATATATCATCTGTGGCTGCTCCGCACATCACTGGCAGAGTTGAGAAGTGGTGACAGAGACCACATGGCCCACAAAGCCGACCACTTTTACTAACTAGCCCTTGACAGAAGAAACTCCTCCCCCGGTGCCCCACTAGGCCAATCGCTGTGAGTGTGAAGTGAAATCAACATGTGGTTTGCAGCTTCGTTCGCCCATTTGGATTCTTACCAACCTAATGTTGAGCAGAAAAACCCAGACACAACAGAGAACATTCTACATCAATCCATTTATTCCAAAGGACAAAAAAAACCCCAAAACCCCACCAGGCACAACTAATCTAAACTATGATGTTGGAAGCGAGGACAACATTTTCCTGGGAGTGAGTGTAGAGATAAGAAAGGGGCAGACAGAGGGCTTCTGGGAAGCTAGTGAAATGTTTGAACTGTATGCTTATATTTGCACACTTTATGCATGTTGCATTTCAGTAAAAATGATGTGTGTCTGTGGAATCCAGATGTAAATACAACTGTGTCCAAGGGCCAAAGTGTAGGCAATGTTGATTGAGCACTGATTAGATGCTAAGCCTTGTGCATCCAATAGAAGGGAAAGGGACACTCTTTCTGCCCTCTTGCAGTTTGTCCTGTCAGAGGAAGATGGACACCAAGAGAACACACAATCAGCCTCAAATTCCACCTGTCACTTGTGCCCTGAAGCAGAGGAACCCAGTTCTGGGAGGACTTCCGATATAAGAATCTGGGCTCCCCCTCCAGAAGACCTGAATAGACATTATTCCAAAGAAGACACACAGATGGCCAACAGGCACATGAAAAGATGCTCAACATTGCTAATCATAAGAGAAATGCAAATCCAAACCATAACGAAAGATGTTCAACATTGCTAATTAGAGAAATGCAAATCAAAGCTACGATGAGGTATCACTTCACATCAGTCAGAATGGTCATCACTGAAAAGTCTACAAATAATACATGCTGGGGAGAGTGTGGAGAAAAAGGAATCCCCCAGCTCTGTTGGTGGGAATGTAAATTGGTGCAGCCATTATGAAGAATAGTACAGAGATTCCTTTAAAAACTAAAAATAGACTTACCATATGATCCAGCAATCCCACTCCTGGGGATATAGCCAGAAAAGAAAAAAACTCTAATTAAAAAAGATACATGCACCCCAATGTTCATAACAGCACTAGTCACAACAGCCAAGACATGGAAGCAACCTAAATGTCTAGCCACACATGATTGGATAAAGAAGATTTGGTGTGTATATATACTATGGAAAAAGCCATAAAAAAGAATGAAATAATATCATTTGCAGCAACATGGATGGCCCTAGAGATTATTAAGTGATGTCAGAGAGAGAAAGATAAGTATCATATGATATCACTTATATGTGGAACCTTAAAAAATTATACGAATGAACTTATTTACAAAAGAGAACAGACTCACAGACATAGAAAACAAACTCATGGTTACCAAAGGGGAAAGGGGGTGGAAGAGATTAGTCAGGAGTTTGGGATTAACAGATGCACACTAGTATATGTAAAATAAATAAACAACAAGGACCCACTGTATAGCACAGGGAACTGTATCTTATAATAACCTATAATGAAAAACAGAAAAAGAATATATATACGGATGTATGTGGACAGATGAACGTGTAAAGAGGATGTGGTGTATGTATACAATGAAATATTACTCAGCCACAAAAAAGAATGAAATTTTGCCATCTGCAACAACATGGATGTCTTGGAGGGCATTATGATTAGTGAAATAAGTCAGACAGAGAAAGATACTGTATGGTATGCTATTGCAATACATATAGAATCTAAAATATTAAACAGACTAGTGAATATAGAAAAGAAATAGTCTCACAGATATAGAGAACTAACTAGTGGTTACATTACCAGTGAGGAGGGGAGAGGGGAAAGATAGGGGTAAGGGATTAAGAGGTACAAACTGCTATGTATAAAATAAATAAGCGACAAGGATATATTGTACGGCATTGGGAATACAGCCAATAGTTTGCAATAACTATGAATAGAGTATCATCTACAAAAAAATTTTGAATCACAGTTGTCGTAGGATCCGTCAGGCCGGTGAGCAGGCGGTAAAAGAATTTACCAGAGACAAAGGAGGAGAATAGTAAAGGAGTTTATTAGACACGCTGCCGCAGAAAACAGTGGGCCACGCAGACAAGAGCTGCCTGTATGCGCACCGAGGGTTGGTTGCTGAGGTCTTTTATAAGGGAGGGTAGAATTTGACTCCTTGTGCTTACGTGACATCAGGCACACAGGGGGTCACAGTGTGTGTGATCAGTTCACACACAAGTTTCCAATTGGTTTAGGTGAGTTGAGAAAGTTAGGGTCCCTGAAAGGGCAGTGGGATTTATGATTCCGATAAGGAGGAGACATGGGTTGAAATAAACCAGCCTGAGCTATTGTGAGAGTGACCATTTCCTTAGGCTATTAGTTGTGCTGGGGCAGACACATGTCAGGAAAGAATGCACCTTATCTTTTGAGGGATTGCAGGCAGACATCTGGGAGCCAAGGAATGATGGTCATTGGACTTTGAAGGGCTCCCATTGGCCTCCCAACCATGTTGTACACCTGAAACAAATCTGACATTGTAAATCAACTATATCTCTCCCTGCAAAAAAAAATCTGTTCTCCAATGGAGGAATCTAGGAAAGTTCTTATGGAGGAAGAGATGGCTGGGCAGCAACTGGAGCAACTGAGCAAGAGTTCACCAGGAGAACAGGCCAGCAGGGGCTTTCTGGGTGGAGGGAACTGCATATCCTAAAGCTCTGGGGTGGGACACCGTGTACCAGTGTGAGGAACTGAAAGAAAACCTGTGGGGTGGGAAGGCAGAGAGCCTGGTTGGAATAAATGAATTCCAGAGGCAAGTTCATGTGCCTGCTGCACCATGAGGCCAAACAAATTGAAACGCTGGAGTCTGGAGCAGAGAAAGGTTTATTGCAGGGCCGAGAAAGGAGGACAGGGTGGCTCATGCCCAAGAAAACCCCAAAGTCCCCAAAGGGTTTCAGCAAAGCATATTGAAAGGCCAGGTGAGGGAGGGGGTTGCAGGGTATGTGATCAACTCATGCACAATCCTCTGATTAAGTGATTTGGAGGGAACAGGGTGGTCAATACTATCAACCCCTAGGCACCAGGAGGTCTGGGGGCCACATGCTATGAATAATCAAGTAGTTCATTTCTTCCCTTTGGTGGTGATTTTTAGCATCTGAAAAACTCAGGAAATATACATGAGATGCTATTATCTGGGTGCTTCAGAGAGGAGCTGCAGCAGAGGACATAGGGGGAGGGGTCTGTCCCTGGAAGGCCCCACAGGGTCCTGTTGGTTACACAGAGGCTCTCTTTCTTGAAGACCCCCAGACCTAGCTGGGGCACAGGGTAGCTTGGGAAGTGGCAAAAATCATTCTTGGAAAGCTCTCATTTTTCAAAACCCTTTAGTCTCAGAACGTTTCAGGGAAAAGCTTTTGAAGGGTGCA